TGGAATGTTGGCACAGAGCGCGGGCACAGAACGCGGGCACGGCTCTGGAACGTTGGCACCGCTCTGGAATGTGGGCACGGAACGTGGGCACGGCTCTGGAACGCGGGCACAGCTCCGGAATGTTGGCACGGAATGCGGGCACGGCTCTGGAATGTGGGCACGGCTCTGGAACATGGGTACAGAATGTTGGCACCGCTCTGGAACGTTGGCACAGAACGCGGGCACAGAACGTTGGCATGGAACAGCGGGCACGGAACATGGGCATGGATACGGAACGTGGGCACGGATGGAGGAGCGGGCACGGAACGCGGGCATGGATCCGGAACACGGGCACAGAATGCGGGCACGGAACACGGGCATGGAACCTGGGCACGGATCCGGAACGTGGGCACGGATGGATAAGCGGGCACGGAACGTGGGCACGGAATGCGGGCACGGCTCTGGAACCTTGGCACAGAGCGTTGGCACAGTTCTGGAATGTGGGCACGGAACGCGGGCACGGATCTGGAATATGGGCATGGAATGTGGGCACGGAACATTGGCACCGCTCTGGAACATTGGCACAGCTCTGGAACGCGGGCACGGATCTGGAATGTTGGCACCTCTGTGGAATGCGGGCATGGCTCTGGAACGTTGGCACAAAACACGGGCACGGATCCGGAACGTGGGCACGGAACGCGGGCACGGCTCTGGATGAGCGGGCATGGCTCTGGAACATGGGCACGGAACATTGGCACGGCTCTGGAACGCGGGCACGGAACGTTGGCACGGCTCTGGAACGTTGGCACCACTGTGGAATGTGGGCACGGCTCTGGAGCGTTGGCACGGCTCTGGAATATGGGCACGGAACACGGGCACGGAACGTGGGCACGGATGGATGAGCGGGCACGGAACGCGGGCACGGAATGTGGGCACGGATGGATGAGCGGGCATGGAACGCGGGCATGGCTCTGGAACGTTGGCACGGCTCTGGAATGTGGGTACGGAACGTTGGCACAGTTCTGGAATGTGGGCATGGAACGTTGGCACGGATCCGGAACGTTGGCACAGGTCTGGAATGTTGGCACAGAGCGCGGGCACAGAACGCGGGCACGGCTCTGGAACGTTGGCACCGCTCTGGAATGTGGGCACGGAACGTGGGCACGGCTCTGGAACGCGGGCACAGCTCTGGAATGTTGGCACGGAATGCGGGCACGGCTCTGGAATGTGGGCACGGCTCTGGAACATGGGTACAGAATGTTGGCACCGCTCTGGAACGTTGGCACGGAACGCGGGCACGGAACGGTGGCACGGAACAGCGGGCACGGAACGTTGGCATGGATCCGGAACGTGGGCACGGATGGAGGAGCGGGCACGGAACGCGGGCATGGATCCGGAACACGGGCACAGAATGCGGGCACGGAACACGGGCATGGAACCTGGGCACGGATCCGGAACGTGGGCACGGATGGATAAGCGGGCACGGAACGTGGGCACGGAATGCGGGCACGGCTCTGGAACCTTGGCACAGAGCGTTGGCACAGTTCTGGAATGTGGGCACGGAACGCGGGCACGGATCTGGAATATGGGCATGGAATGTGGGCACGGAACGTTGGCACCGCTCTGGAACGTTGGCACAGCTCTGGAACGTGGGCACGGATCTGGAATGTTGGCACCTCTGTGGAATGCGGGCATGGCTCTGGAACGTTGGCACAAAACACGGGCACGGATCCGGAACGTGGGCACGGAACGCGGGCACGGCTCTGGATGAGCGGGCATGGCTCTGGAACATTGGCACCGCTCTGGAACATTGGCACGGCTCTGGAACGCGGGCATGGAATGTTGGCACGGCTCTGGAACATTGGCACCACTGTGGAATGTGGGCACGGCTCTGGAGCGTTGGCACGGCTCTGGAATATGGGCACGGAACACGGGCACGGAACGTGGGCACGGATGGATGAGCGGGCACGGAACGCGGGCACGGAATGTGGGCACGGATGGATGAGCGGGCATGGAACGCGGGCATGGCTCTGGAACGTTGGCACGGCTCTGGAATGTGGGTACGGAACGTTGGCACAGTTCTGGAATGTGGGCATGGAACGTTGGCACGGATCCGGAACGTTGGCACAGGTCTGGAATGTTGGCACAGAGCGCGGGCACAGAACGCGGGCACGGCTCTGGAACGTTGGCACCGCTCTGGAATGTGGGCACGGAACGTGGGCACGGCTCTGGAACGCGGGCACAGCTCCGGAATGTTGGCACGGAATGCGGGCACGGCTCTGGAATGTGGGCACGGCTCTGGAACATGGGTACAGAATGTTGGCACCGCTCTGGAACGTTGGCACAGAACGCGGGCACAGAACGTGGGCATGGCTCCGGAATATGGGCACGGAACGCGGGCACGGATCTGGAACGTGGGCATGGAACGTTGGCACAGTTCTGGAACGTTGGCACGGAACGTTGGCATGGATCCGGAACGCGGGCACGGAATGTGGGCACAGATGGATGAGCGGGCATGGAACATGGGCACGGAACGCGGGCACAGCTCCGGAACACGGGCACGGATCCGGAACGTTGGCACCGCTGTGGAATGCGGGCACGGCTCTGGAATGTTGACACAGCTCTGGAACGTTGGCACCGCTCTGGAACGTTGGCACCACTCTGGAACATTGGCACCGCTCTGGAACGCGGGCACGGAATGTGGGCACGGCTCTGGAACGTTGGTACCGCTCTGGAATGTGGGCACGGCTCTGGAATATGGGCACAGAATGTGGGCACGGCTCTGGAACGTGGGCACGGCTCTGGAATGCGGGCACAGCTCTGGAACATTGGCACCACTCTGGATGAGCGGGCACGGAACGCGGGCACGGATGGATGAGTGGGCACGGAGCATTGGCATGGCTCTGGAACGTGGGCACGGCTTTGGAATATGGGCACAGAACGTTGGCACGGATGGAGGAGCGGGCATGGAACGCGGGCACAGAACACGGGCACGGCTCTGGAACGTTGGCACCGCTCTGGAATATTGGCACAGCTTTGGAATATTGGCACGGCTCTGGAATATTGGCACAGCTCTGGAATGTGGGCACAGAACGCGGGCACGGCTCTGGATGAGCCCCTTCCGTGGAGCTCAACCGCTGGCCTGGAGCTCAGCCCCTTCCGTGGAGCTCAACTGCTGCCCCTGAGCTCAACTGCTGCCCTGGAGCTCCGCGGCTGCCCTGGAGCTCCGCTGCTGTCGCGGAGCTCAGCCGCTGTTGTGGAGCTCAACCACTGCCCCGGAGCTCCGCTGCTGCCCCAGAGCTCAGCTGCTGTCCTGGAGCTCAACTGCTGCCTCGGAGCTCAGTCGCTGTCCCGGAGCTCCGCCGCTGACCCGGAGCTCCACCGCTGTCCTGGAGCTCAACCGCTGCCGCGGAGCTCAGCCACTGCCCCGGAGCTCAGCCACTTCCGTGGAGCTCAACCGCTATCCCGGAGCTCAGCCGCTGCCCCGGAGCTCAGCCGCTGTCTCAGAGCTCAACCGATGTCCTGGACCTCAGCTGCTGCTCCAGAGCTCAACCGCTGTCCCGGAGCTCAGTCGCTGTCCTGGAGCTCAACCGCTGCCCCGGAGCTCCGCTGCTGTCGTGGAGCTCAGCCCCTTCTGTGGAGCTCAGCCCCTTCTGTGGAGCTCCACCACTGCCCTGGAGCTCAACCGCTGCCCCGGAGCTCAGCCCCTTCCGTGGAGCTCAACCGCTGCCCTGGAGCTCCACCGCTGTCCTGGAGCTCCGCTGCTGCTCCGGAGCTCAGCCACTGCCGTGGAGCTCAGCCGCTGTCCCAGAGTTCAGCCCCTTCCATGGAGCTCAACCACTGCCCCGGAGCTCAACCGCTGTTCCAGAGCTCAACCGCTGCCCCGGAGCTCCGCTGCTGTCCTGGAGCTCAACCGCTGCCCCAGAGCTCAGCTGCTGCCCCGGAGCTCCGCCGTTGTCCTGGAGCTCAACCGCAGCCTCAGAGCTCCGCTGCCCCGGAGCTCAACCGCTGTCCTGGAGCTCAGCCGCTGCCCCAGAGCTCAGCCCCTGCCCAGAGCTCAATAACAAAATAATAAAATAATAAAATAATAAAATAATTATTTTTTACTTATTTACTTATTTAATTATTTAATGATTTAATGATTTAATCATTTAATGATTTAATGATTTTATTATTTAATGATTTTATTATTTCATTATTTCATTATTTAATTATTTTATTATTTTATTATTTCATTATTGAACTATTTTATTATTTCATTATTTAATTATTTAATTATTTAATTATTTAATTATTTCATTATTTTATTATTTCATTATTTTATTATTTTATTATTTTATTATTTTATTATTTTATTATATTATTTTTACTTATTTACTTATTTAATGATTTAATGATTTAATCATTTTATGATTTAATTATTTTATTATTTCATTATTTAATTATTTATTCATTTAATTATTTTATCATTTTATCATTTAATTATTTAATTACTTAATTATTTCCTGGAGCTTCATTATTAAATATCAATTTCATATATTTACCTCCCAATGTCTGGTATATTAATGAGTTAATAATCTGGATATTAATAATATAATAATAATCTGGATATTAATGAGTTCATTAATATCAATCATATCAATAATATCCATAATAATCTGGATATTATTAATATAATAATAATCTGGATATTAATGAGTTCATTAATTACAGAAAAAATAGAAATCCTAATTAGGGGAAAAAAATGAAACGCCGTAAACGGTCTGAGATAAATTTCCTTAAAATCCCTTTAATTAATCATTTAATTGCGATTAATTAACGCAAAATTAATTAATCACAATTATTAAATAATTATATATAATTATTTTGAATTATAGATATTTTAATTATCATATATATAATAAATTTAATTATATATACATAATTATATATATTTTAATTAAGTATATATAATTCAATAGATATAATTATATTAATTAATTATATAATTAATAATATAATTAATTAATTTTTGTCTTTAGATGTAGAAGACAGAACGAGCTCAGGGTCCTGGGGGAACACGGGACATCCGAGTCCGTCAAGGGTGAGTAAAAATTAATTAATAATTTTAATTAATTTTTAATTAATTTTCCAGGAATTTCCCAGGAATTTTCCAGGAATTTTCCGGGAATTTTTCGGGAATTTTTCAGGAATTTTCCAGGAATTTTTCAGGAATTTTCCTGGAATTTTTCAGGAATTTTCCAGGAATTTTTCAGGAATTTTCCAGCAATTTTTCAGGAATTTTTCAGGAATTTTTCAGGAATTTTTCAGGAATTTTTCAGGAATTTTCCAGGAATTTTTCAGGAATTTTCCAGGAATTTTCCAGGAATTTTCCAGGAATTTTTCAGGAATTTTCCAGGAATTTTCCGGCAATTTTCCAGGAATTTTCCAGGAATTTTCCGGGAATTTTTCGGGAATTTTTTAGGAATTTTCCAGCAATTTTCCAGCAATTTTCCAGGAATTTTCCAGGAATTTTTCAGGTATTTTCCAGGAATTTTCCAGGAATTTTTCAGGAATGTTTCAGGAATTTTCCATTTTGAATTAATCCTTAATTATTTCCTTATTTTAATCCAAAATTTGGATTAAAAACTGGATTTTTATCCCCTCCTCATCCTCAATCCTGAAGGAATTCCCGAATTTTTCCGAAGAAAAGCAGCACGAGCCTCGGGAAAAAATTCGGGAATTTTAATCAACATTTGGAATTAATTGGCAGAATTATTATTATAATTAATTATTATAATTATTATTATTATAATGTAAACGTTCCGACTTTGTTTTATTTTCCTGTTGGAATTGAATTTCCGCTCCGATTCTTCGGGAGTTTTTCTGCTTTAATTTAATTAATTTAATTAATTTAATCAACACAACTTTTTTTTTGTTAAAAAGTGTTAAAATTATATTTCTTTAATTATTTTTTAGCCTAATTACGGAGATGGAACTCATTACGAGCACGTTGCCAACAGAGATATCGGATCGCACGAAAATCTTTCTCCTCCTTTTGTCAATTCCAGGATACAAAGTAAGAAAATGGAATTTTTTCCCTGATTTTAGGGTGGAAAAATGGGATTAATGGATTAAAAATTTAATTTAATTTTTGGGGTTTGGCAGATTTGGTTGAATTTTGTGGTTTTTGATGGGATTTGGTGATTTTTAGTGGTTTGGATCGATAAATGTGGTTTTGTGATGGGTTTGAGATGGAAAATTCGGTTTGGTGACTTGTGGCAATGGCAGTGACAGTGGCAGTGACAATGACAATGATAGTGGCAATGGCAGTGGGATGGCAATGGGAATTGTGGTGGCAATGACAATGGCAATGACAATGGCAGTGACAATGGCAATGGGAATTGTAGTGGCAATGGCAGTGATGGTGGCAGTGACAGTGGGATGGGGTGGCAGTGATGATGGCAGTGGTAGTGACAATGGTATGGAGTGGTAGTGACAATGGCAATGACAGTGACAATGGCAGTGGCAGTGACAATGGCGGTGATAATGGCAATGGGATGGAGTGGCAGTGATGATGGCAGTGGCAATGGCAGTGACAGTGGCCATGGGAATGACAATGACGATGGCGGTGGCAATGGCAGTGATAGTGACAATGGCAGTGACAATGGCCATGGCAGTGACAATGGTAATGGTGGTGACAGTGACAGTGACAATGGCAATGGCGGTGACAGTGGCAATGGCAATGGGATGGAGTGGCAGTGATGATGGCAGTGACATGGCAATGGGATGGCAGTGACAATGGCAATGACAGTGACAATGGCAATGGGATGGAGTGGCAGTGATGATGGCAGTGACAGTGACAATGGCAATGGCAGTGACAATGGCAATGGGATGGAATGGCAGTGACAATGGCAATGATAGTGGCAGTGTCAGTGACAATGGCGGTGACAACGGCAGTGGGATGGAGTGGCAGTGATGATGGCAGTGACAGTGGCAATGGCAATGGAATGGAGTGGCAGTGATGATGGCAGTGACATGGCAATGGCAGTGACAATGGCAATGGGGTGACAGTGGCAATGGCAATGGTGGTGGCAGTGGCAATGGCAGTGGCAATGGCAATGGCAATGGCAATGGAATTGCAGTGACAATGGCAATGGCAGTGACAATGGCAATGGCGGTGACAGTGGCAATGGAAGCGGCAGTGGCAGTGCCAATGGAAGTGGGAATTGCAGTGATAGCAGCAATGGCAGTGGCCATGGGAATGACAATGACAATGGTGGTGGCAGTGGCAGTGGAATGGGAATGACAATGACAATGGTGGTGGCAATGATAGTGGCAATGGCAATGGCAGTGACAATGGCAGTGGTAATAGCAATGGTGGTGACAGTGACAATGGCAATGATAGCGACAATGGCAATGGGATGGCAGTGACAATGGCAATGGCGGTGACAGTGGCAATGGCAATGGCAGTGGAATTGAAATGATAATGGCAATGGTGGTGACAATGGCAGTGACAATGGCAATGGTGGTGACAGTGACAATGGGAATTATAGTGGCAATGGCAGTGACAATGGCAGTGGAATTGCCATGAAAATGACAATGATAGTGACAATGGCAATGGGATGGAGTGGCAGTGATGATGGCAGTGACAATGGCAATGGGATGGCAGTGACAATGGCGGTAATAGTGGCAATGGCAATGGGAATTGTAGTGACAATGATAATGGCAGTGACAATGGCAATGATAGTGACAATGGCAGTGACAATGGCAATGGCAATGATAGTGACAATGGCAGTGGCAGTGGGATGGCAATGGGATGGAATGACAATGGCAATGGCAGTGGCAATGGAAATGCCATGACAATGGCAGATACAATGGCAATGGCAATGGGATGGAATGGCAGTGACAATGGCAATGGCAATGATAGTGGCAATGGCAATGGGATGGAATGACAATGGTAATGGCAGTGACAATGGCAGTGGGATGGAGTGGCAGTGATGATGACAATGGCAATGGCAGTGACAATGGCAATGGGAATTGCAGTGGCAATGTCAGTGGGATGGAGTGGCAGTGGTGGTGGCAGTGACAATGGCAATGGGAATGGCAATGGGAATTGTAGTGACAATGGCACTGGTGGTGGCAGTGGGAATGGCAGTGACAATGGCAGTGACAATGACAATGGCAGTGACAATGGCAGTGGGATGGAGTGGCAGTGACAATGGCGGTGACAATGACAATGGCAATGGCAGTGACAATGGGATGGAGTGGCAGTGATGATGGCAATGACAGTGACAATGGCAGTGGGATGGAATGACAATGGCAATGGCAATGATAGTGACAGTGACAATGGGATGGAGTGGCAGTGACAATGGCAATGGCAATGATAGTGACAATGGCAATGGGATAGAATGGCCGTGATGATGGCAATGGCAATGGCAGTGGCTGTGGCAATGATAGTGGCAGTGACAGTGATAGTGGCAATGGCAGTGGAATTGCTATGACAATGACAATGGCGGTGACAATGGCAGTGGGATGGCAGTGACAGTGGCAATGACAAATGGCGGTGACAGTGGCAATGGCAATGGCAGTGACAATGACAATGGCAGTGATAGTGGCAATGGCAGTGACAATGGCTGTGGCAATGGCGGTGACAGTGACAATGGCAGTGGGATGGAGTGGCAGTGACAATGGCAATGGCAGTGACAGTGACAATGGCAATGGGATGGAGTGGCAGTGATGATGACAATGGCAGTGACAGTGGCAGTGGGATTGAGTGGCAGTGATGATGGCAATGGCAGTGGCAGTGGCAATGGGGTGACAGTGGCAATGGCAATGGCAATGGGATGGCGGTGGCAATGGGAATTATAGTGGCAATGGCAATGGCGGTGACAGTGGCAATGGGATGGAGTGCAGTGATGACGGCAATGGCAGTGGCAGTGACAGTGACAATGGCAATGGTGGTGACAGTGACAATGACAATGGCAGTGACAATGGCAATGGCAATGGCAATGATAGTGGCAATGGCAGTGACAGTGGCAGTGATAGTGGCGATGGCAGTGACAATGGGAATGACAATGACAATGACAATGGCGGTGGCAATGGCAGTGACAATGGCAGTGGGATGGAGTGGCAGTGATTATGGCAATGGTGGTGACAATGACAGTGACAATGGCAATGACAGTGACAATGACAATGGAATTGCAGTGATAGTGGCAATGGCAATGACAATGACAATGGGATGGAATGGCAGTGACGATGGCAGCTGCGATGACAATGACAATGGCAGTGCAATTGCCATGACAATGGCAATGGCAGTGACAATGGCAATGGGATGGAGTGGCAGTGGCAATGGCAATGATAGTGACAATGGCAGTGACAGTGACAATGGCAGTGACAATGGCAATGGCAGTGGGATGGAGTGGCAGTGATGATGGCAATGATACTGGCAGTGGCAGTGGCAATGGGAGTGGCAGTGGCAGTGACAATGGCAGTGGGAATTGTAGTGGCAGTGGCAGTGGCAGTGGCAATGACAAATGGTGGTGACAGTGATAGTGGGAATGGCAGTGTAATTGCCATGACAATGACAATGGCGGTGACAATGGCAGTGGGATGGAGTGGCAGTGATGATGGCAATGATAGTGACAATGGCAATGGGGTGACAGTGGCAGTGACAATGGCAATGGCAGTGGGAATTATAGTGGCAATGGCAATGACAGTGACAATGGCAGTGGAATTGCAATGACAATGGCAATGATAGTGACAATGGCAATGGGATGGAGTGGCAGTGACAATGGCAATGATAGTGGCAGTGACAGTGACAATGGCGGTGACAATGGCAATGGGAATTGTGGTGGCAATGACAATGGCAGTGACAATGGCAATGGCAATGGCAATGGGAATGGCAATGATAGTGGCAATGGGAATGGAATTGCAATGACCGTGGCAATGACAATGGGATGGAGTGGTGGTGACACTGGCAATGATAGTGGCAATGGCAGTGACAATGGCAATGGCAATGACAGTGGGATGGAGTGGCAGTGATAGTGACAATGGCAGTGGCAGTGATGATGACAATGGCAGTGACAATGGCGGTGACAATGGCAATGGGATGGAGTGGCAGTGACAATGGCAATGATAGTGGCAGTGACAGTGACAATGGCGGTGACAATGGCAGTGGGATGGAATGGCAGTGATGATGGCAGTGGCAGTGACAATGACAGTGGGATGGAGTGGCAGTGATGATGGCAATGATAGTGACAATGGCGGTGTCAATGATAGTGGCAGTGACAAGGGCGGTGACAATGACAATGGTGGTGGCAGTGGGATGGAGTGGCAGTGATGATGGCAATGATAGTGGCAGTGGCAATGGGATGGAGTGGCAGTGACAATGGCAATGGCACTGGTGGTGGCAATGGCAATGGCAATGGGAATTGTAGTGACAATGGCAATGATGGTGACAGTGGCAGTGGGATGGAATGGCAGTGATGATGGCAATGGGATGACAGTGACAATGGCAATGGCAGTGGCAGTGACAATGGCAGTCATAGTGGCAATCCCAAACTCCTGTCCCTAATCTATGGGATCACAGGTTTATGGGATCAGAGGTTTATGGGATCAGAGGTTTATGGGATCACAATTTTATAGGATCAGAGTTTTATGGGATCACAATTTTATGGGATCACAATTTTATGGGATCACAGTTTTATAGGGTCACAATTTTATAGGATCAGAGTTTTATAGGATCAATGATTTATAGGATCAGAGGTTTATAGGATCAGAGGTTTATGGGATCCCGGTTTTATGGGATCCCTGGTTTTTATGGGATCACAATTTTATGGGATCACAATTTTATGGGATCACAATTTTATGGGCTCAGAGGTTTATGGGATCACAGGTTTATGGGATCACAATTTTATGGGATCAGAGGTTTACGGGATCACAATTTTATGGGATCTCAGGTTTATGGGATTTCAGCTTTATAGGATCACAATTTTATAGGATCCCAATTTTATGGGATCACAATTTTATGGGATCCCAATTTTATGGGATCCCCATTTTATAGGATCAGAGGTTTAT